CCTAAAAATTTTAAAATACTATGGTCTTTAGTTAATTGCCCCCAACAGATCGAACCCCGCCAAGGGACACTGCCCCCTTGAACCCCCGACAAATATGTCTTATAAGTTTGCCCCCCCTGAAAATTAGGGCTGGTTCCGCCCCTGGTTAGAGAGAAATCGCAGCAATTGTGATTTTAGGATGTGTACGTGATTTACAAATGCAAAAAGTAAAGAGGAGTCAGAATCAAGGAGGAAAATCGTCACAATGGTAAAAAAATACATATTCTAATTTAGAAAGCAAATTCTTAAGCCTTTCAACATGTACAAATATTGAGCAAAAGTTTAGCATGAAATACATTAGAAATTTTTAATATTGTTGAATCTGTGTCTACAACAAAATATTCATATGTAAACGAGCACATATATTTTAATGATTCGAGCTCAAAAGTAATCATATTCTAATTAATAATTATATTAATATTTCGCTAAATAACAATATTTTGGAAAGAAAAACAAGCTAACTACCGTTTTCTTTTCCTTCAAATAATTGTTTTGTTATACTGATGTCTTTTATATTAATGCATGAACCATTTAATTATTAGTTAAATAATTGATTAGAAATTATTAAATCTAAGGAAAATCATGTTAGGTGATGGGTGGTAACAATAAGTTATAATACCTGCACAAGTGAGACAAAAGTGATGATGGGGGCATTAGGACCTCAATGTAGTTCAATGACAATAATACTGGATTTTACATTGGCACCACTTAATATGGTTAATTATATGTTATGATGATGGCCAAAAGCTTAGACATCTAATCATGAGAAATTTAAAGACTTAAGATGAAATTAGAGATGAAAAAGAAGATAAATATTAAATGAAGTATCCATATGAATAAATTCCTAATTGAACGTTTAAATCATTAAATAACATAATATTATTCTATCTATGGCACTATAACAAACATTCTATTATTATTAGTTCATATGAACATATATATGTTAATTTATTTTATAAATGATTTACGAACTTAGTTTCAATCATAAATACATGCATATTGTTCATTGATCTTTTCTCATAAATCTTATATTAGAATTGCAGATTTTTCTGTTTCTCATAGCTCACCAAATTTTTATTCTAACTGTTTTACAAGAAATGAGAAGGTTTTTGAAGCAGAATAGAATCATGTCAATATAAACCTTCTATTTTATGATATAAGTATGTAAGAATAGTATTAAACAGAGGAATGTAGAATGTTTATTATAAAAATATTTTGAAGTTATTAATTCCTATATATATATATATATATATATATATATATATGTTATAAATAAAATATTTTGAATCATTTTGCTTTATAGATAAATGTGGTGAAATATTTCATGATTATTATCAGAATGTTTATAAGTTATGAATGTTAGAGGAATCTTATATTTCTCGTGGTTGCGTCCTGTGTCATTTGGTTGGAGAACGGCGTGGGGTGTGACAGAAAGTGATATCAGAGCGAGGTTTAACTTTCTAAGAATTATCTAAGGAAACTTAATTGGATTTAGTATTTTAAGAAAGATATTTGAATATGATATAATTACTACAGAGCTTAGGAGGAGGTAGTGTTCTTAAGTTAGTGGCGAGTCTACCCTCGATCCTTCTTGCATTTAATATATAAAATTAAAAAATATTAATTTGTGCATATGGTTATATAAATGCATATATTATGATATAATTTTTTAGATAAAATGGTTGAAAGAATACCCGAGGGGATTAATGGATAGTAAGCTCAGTAGAGCAATTGAATGTCTTGAAAATATTGCACAGCTGAGGGAAGTACACTCCGATCAGAATATGTGTCAGTAGTGCCTGATTCTACAACAATGATATCAAGGACTGATGCAAATGAAAATGATGCGAATGAAGATGAAAATAATGGAAAAGATGCAATTCTTTTTAGAAACTCCAGCACCTAGTGTACCAGTACCACCAACAGCTATACCAGTCATGCTATAGTTCCAAGTAGCAGTGCAGAAGCAAGTGCCCCAATAAGTGTAGAGTTACACAAGCATTTAAAACTCTTTCAGAATTTGAAGCCACATTTATTTAACGGAGTAGACACCAAAGTTGTTGAGGATTGGATAATCAAAATTGAAAAGATCTTGAATGGGATTAAAAGTCTTAATGAGAAACGAGTATCTCTAGCTATTTTTTTATTGTCAGTTGAAGGAGAATGATGGTGGAGAGTGCAATATTTAAAAAATTTTAAGGGTAGACCTGAGGAGCTAATCACCTAGGAAGACTTTGAACATGCCTTCACAGATTAGTATATCCCTTCTTTAGCAAGACAGACAATATAGGAGAGTTTTGTAAGTCTAACTCAAGGATCCAAGATTGTTATTCAATATGAGACAAATTTTACATCATTTTCAAAATATGCTCCACAGCTTATCAATACTACTGAGAAATGCTACAATTTTTTAAAAGGCCTTAGAGATCCATTGAGACAACCTCTAATTTCTTTGGACATTAAAGATTTTGCTGAACTAATTGAGAATGCCCGATTTCTAGAGTGAGATATGAGAATGGTAAGACAGAAATGGGAGACTAACAACAAGAAAAGGCAAATTGACATCAAAAGTGGTTAGTTAAAAAACAAAAATTTATCCAGGGTCAACAACAACAACAGCAACAACAGCATGGATGGTAATGTTCGATACCAATTTGTGTTAATTGTGGAAAGTCACATCCAAGAAAATGTCTATTGAGTTTAGATAAGTGTTATTTATGAGGAGAGCAAGGATATATTAAGAGACACTATCCAAAAAATGTACAGGAAGCCAGAGAGATAAAAGATGTTCAGAGGACCAAGTCGTATAGAGGCGCTAAACTACAAATGAACAAACCAACTTTGATGATAAAAGGAGAAGCATCTGGATAAACTGCAAGATTAGTACCAGCCCGAGTTTTTGCTTAAACCTCTCAATAAGTTAAGGAATCTTCAAAAATAGTGATACGTACAATCATTATTTCAGATTTACCTATCATAATTTTCTTTGATAATTCTCTGATAAATTTTAGTCAGGTGAACAAACGCATGAAAATCAGCGAATTAAATTTCTTAGCGAAGTTAAAAGCTAGTAAAGAGACAAATAGCAATATAAATATTATTCCTGTGGTGAATGAATTAGTTAGGATAGAATTGAGAAAAAAAATATTCATATTGCTGACCCCACGCAGTGAGATAAAAGCTTGATATTGTTGTTGTTGGTGGTGGTGAATGAATTAGTCAACTTTAAGCCCATAACTTTATCTTTTAGGGGTTTTTTGGTTGAAAGGAAAATAGATGTAAAGTATTCTAAATGCAGAGGTTTTAAAAATATTAGTGTTTGGTTGGAGGAAAAAAGAATCTAAAGTAAAGTAAATGTAATGTAAACCATTTTAGTTCATTTTTTAGGTAAACTAAACTCTTTCAGTTTTGAACAAGAATCGTTTGCCCTGCAGGTAAGGTCGCTTAATTCCCGATACCACTTCGCAGGCCATCACCAGAGGCCACCCACCGCTGACAGCCACTATCACCGCTGTCACTACTACCATCATCACCCTCCACTAGCTATCTCCAATGTCGTAGCCGTTGGTCGCCACCATTTTTGAATTTTACACTAAATTCATTTTACTTCAAGAGGATGTACCTTATGCTTTTTGTTCAAGATATTCTTCTTGTTGATAAGACCAGAGAGGGAGTTAAAGAAAACTTGAATTATAGAAGTCAACCTTAAGAGTCTAAAAGTTTTTGTTTGAGTAGATCTAAAACCAAATTCATTGAGTGTAATTTTATTAGCAAGAGATTTAGTGAGGGATTGTGAGTTTGGGCGATCATGTCATTAAAAAGAGTTCATATTTTACATAGCTTGTGTCGATTGTTCAAATTGATGGTGAAATCGAAGGGATATTATTAGTATAATTCAAGTTGGATGGTTGAAATGGAGGAGTGCAACGAGTTTGTTATGTGATAGAAAAGTGTACCTCAAACTCAAGAAAAAATTCTATAAGATGGTGGTGAAACCAATAATGCTTTATGATGCTCAATGTTGGCCATTAAAAGAGAAGCATAACATTAAGTTGAGTGTTATAGAGATAAAGATGCTCAGGTGGAGGCGTGGCTTTACTCTTAGAGATAAAATATGAAACAAGTATATACGTGAAAAGGTTGGAGTAGCTCCAGTGACAGATAAGATTAGAGAGTGTCATCTTAGATGATCTGGTCATGTAAAAAGTAAGCCTTCTGATGGCCCGATTAGAAGAGTTGATGTATTAAATTTGATATTTGTTAAGAAATGTAGATGTAGACATAAAGTAATTTGGTTAGAAAATATTAGAAATGACATTTTTATTAGATTTAAATGAGAATCTGACTCTTAACCGAACACAATGGAAAAAAAAAAAAGATTCACGTTGCCAGCCCCACAGTGGAAAAAAAGCTTGATGTTTATGCCTCGCCTTGCTAAGGAAAAATGCCTCAATTCTAGGTTTTCCTTAGTAACCATTGGTCTTCAGACTCTTCACAAAATGAGAGTGAAATCTTTGAATAGCGTCGTATCTGTAAATTAATATGCTCTTTTAAAAAATTGATCTGAAACTACCACGGCATAGCCGAGCACAAATTTTTAGCTCGCAATCTTTAAATTTATTTTTTCAATCATTGGAAGTGCAGAATCACAGTTCTTGTGTTGGAAAAAAGTGAAAAAGACATTAAAAAAAAAACTAAAAATATTTAAAAGAAGGTGGTTAAAATAACAAGAAAATATGATATTTAAACTGACGTTAAAAGTTCCTTATTTCATTTTTATCATTTTCTACACAAGGTACCACATGATATTGCATGTAAGAATGTGCAAATGTCAAGTCTAAGATAATTTTCTGCACAGGTTAAGAATGTGCAAAAATCAAGTCTAAGATGTGTCTGGCGCTATAGAGAGGACTTACAAGCTACCATGACTTTTGATCTAGCGCCATGACTTTCCCCCCACTTTAAAAGTAAGTCTTCAGCATTTGTCGCAAGTTTCTTTGTTATCATTTTGTCAATGTTCTGATCTGCAATCGAGTTTACCCTAGCAATAGTTACATTCTGCAACTCATTCAAAGCTTTCATTTCATCAGGAGTAGCACCAGAAAGCACAGATTTCAGCATTTGAAGTATTGCATTAAAGGCCTCGAGCTCATTTCTTTGACTGAACGGTCCAAAATCATCATCCTCGCTGAAATAAATTTCCACCTGCGTGAACACCATGAAAACTTGGAGAAAGACCAATTAAACGGAAAAGGAAAATATGCATGGAAATGGGAAACTGGCATGACATACATCATTCAGATAGAGTATCCGTGCTGCTCGAATAATATCTTCCAGTATTAGGAACAACTCTCCTCTTAGTGAAGGTAGTCGTAACTGAAAGCTGAAGCCAAGGTTCCTGGCATTTGACAGTCTCTACCAGTGAAGAAAGCAATCATAAATAACAACAGGAAGAAAGAACATATGAAGAACAGAAAACATACTTAATGATAACTTCACATCAAAATGAAAAAGCGTTGTGGCATTAGGTAAACTTTCTGAAGTAATTACAAAAAATTGTAACAATGACCATGACAAAGCAGAAAAACAAGGAAACATTCAATGAAGTTATAGAGCTTACAATCTTCTCGGTTCATAGTATAACTGCAAAATGCTGAAATTCCAGCATACTTATCTTTGTTAACATAATATTAGCGTTTTAATCATGCTTGTTTTAGATGCAAGCGCACCCTATGGGTAGGACCACTATGATTTGATACAGTGGTAGTGGATTGCATCATCATCCACTCCATCATCATTGACATTTGTTCTATCATTCTTGACACCGTTCGCTCAGGAAAGATGGCGCTAAGCATGAGCCCTGCTTCTTAGGCTTAATGTTTCATCTTCCTTGAGGTAGATTAAATTTTAATTAACAAGATTTCCCTTGATGATTGTATCAGAGTTTATTTAGTTATGGGCCCCTACTTTCAATGAGATCAAGCCCTCATAGTTAATTACCCCTTCTATCGTGTAGAAGAGAACTCTTGATTAATGATGAATAGCTTTAGAAATTTAAATATTTTAGTCTCAATTATGGAGAATGGAGGTAGAACCAATCAAAATCCCATGATTCCGTCGTCCCGAGAATACCGTAGGTTTCAGTCAACCAATAATAACAGTTATTGATCATAGCGTTCAGAGAACCTAATTAGTAGCCACGTGTTGCCTCCTCTCAAGGATCCCAAGTAAACTAAAGTGGTTAGATGTGGATTTTAATGTTATGATGATTTGGGGCTTATGATTTCATTTAGATGTTGGCCAATAATTTGGTTTAATTTAGGGATTACGTCTCCACTTAGGAGTTGCCGTATATTTGATTTAGGTCGGGACTTGTTGGTCCACTTAAGAGTTGTTCGTATGTCTGATTTAGGTCGGGGCTTACGACTCCACTTACGAGTTGCCCATATGTTTGATTTAGAACTTACTGCTTCACTTGGAAGTAGCCTGTAATTCATAAAAGATAGGACTTACTGCTTCCCTTGGAAGTAGAATATAATCTCGGGTTTTGGTTTGAGGGTCTAACACTTCTCTCAGAAGTTTCCTAAAAAGCATGTCTTATAGTTTCCATTGGAGGTTGATTGTCATTTAAATTTAGGGTAGATCGAACAACAGTTACCTCGTTTGCACTTCTCTACTGTCTTGACACTAGTGTTTTTGCTTCAGTACTTCATTTTTCTTGCTTTAGCAATGTTCTTTTGTTTCAACACTACTGTTGTAGTTCAGTACTTTTGTTTTTTAGCACTATAATCTTTGCTACAACATTTTGCATCTATTAGTACTATTGTTTCGTTTATAGTCCTGCATTGACCTAAGTTTATTTATTTGCAGGTATCGGAGCTAGCACTTGCAGGAGCTTACTTGGGGCTTGCTCTTTGTTAGAGTTTGAGTTTGTAGTTTCAGTTTGTTGTTTGTGTTTTGAGTTTGAGCTGGCTTAGAGTTTTGCTAGAGTTTGTTTTGTCTTGACTTTTTGAGTTAGACTGTTGTATAGTGGTTGATTCTAGTACAAACATTCATTTATATTTTCCTTTCATCATTTTTAATTTATTGCATTAATTAATTAATTAAGTAATAAAGTTTTAATTTTATTATATTTTAAATTAGTTAATTAATTAATTAATTAAAGTTTAAATTTTATTGTGATTTAATTTAATTAATTAATTAGTTAATTAATTTTATCATATTGTACATCGATTAATTAATTAATTGTGTTTTAAATTAATTAATTAATTAATTAAATGAAGAGTTAATTTTGTTATATTTTAAATTGATTAATTAATTAAGTTTTAATTTTATTATGTTTTCAATTAATTAATTAATTCTATTTTAATTCAATTTATGTTTTAAATTTTAGATTAAAAGAGAATTTTTTAATTAATAATAAATTTTTTAATTAAAAATTAAAATTAAAATTAAACTTTGTAATTATTATTTAATTAATCGATTAATTTTTGCTCTCCAATTTCTCCCAGAAGAAAATTTGGCAAACTCTCAATGTCCCCTCCACACGAGAGGAGGTTGGGAGGGCAGTTGCCCTTTCAAATCCGCCCGTCCGTATAGGATTAGACGGCCAAGGCCATCGAGATGGTGATCGGTCATAGCATAGGTTTTCAAGTCTTCAATTGTATGGTTGTCTTTCAAATCTGCTTACTATAAAAATAATAGTAATAATTTATTAAATTAATTAGTAGCCCGTTTTAATTCCTCCAACACATTCAAATAGAGACTTGGAGATGCCAACATTAAACTTGATTTATCGAATGTTGGGCTTACTATTGCGAACAAATATAGGCAAAAGAAATCCGATCGGAGCAAAGTGATCAGGTGTTTGAGCGTTCACTAACAAGTGTGAGTATAGGTGAAGGGTTGTGATAGGAAGATTGATCGCGCGAGTATGGATTGGAGTGGATCGTGCAAACGGACAGTGCGAATGGACAAGAGGCGCTAGTGGGGGGTCTCGTGCACACGTGGGAAGCCAGACGGGAGGCTATTCGTGTGTAGGGCAGTCAGACGAGAGGCTTTGGGAGGTTGTTCATGTGTAAGGCGTTCGGACGGGAGGCATCGGGAGGAAGCGAAGGCAAGCGTGAGCGTGCATGTTCGAGCGTGAATTGGACGCTCAGTCAGGTCTAAGTCACGAACGTGGGCGGGAGGTGGTTCGAGAGTCAATCGCAGGCTGAAGGCGGACAATGCTCGTGTGGAGTCGTTGTCCAGATCACTGGAGGCAAACGGGAAGCCGGAAGGCTCGTGTGCGACAGGAATGGGAGAACGAGAGTCGGAAGCAGACAATTGAGCAAAACTTGAACGAGTGTAAGGTCTTCTTTTCTGTTTCTTCATTGTTTTATACGAATTGAACATGTGGTTGTTTTAGCCACGATGTGGAGACGACGTGCTTGTTCGGTTATTCCTCCCTCTCCTTTTTTTTAATTATTTACATTTTTTTAATTTCAACAGTCACTTGATCAGCTAGCTTAGGAGAAGACTCATATTCAACCACCATTTCTTTACTGTCTTTCAATGGAATCTAGTACAAAAAGAGGTTCCTCCGTTCCTTGATGCCCTCTTTTCATTTGTATCATCCGCCAAAACTGAGTGTTTTAATACCAACTTAACCCCTATCCAACCTCTGGAAGTTGGTGCTTAAGCTCACAATGAGAAGTTAAAACAATTAGAAAGGTTATAAGTATACTTGGGATAGAAATTATAATGACCTATGAATAAAAATAAGATCTCTACTGTTGTTTCTCTTCTTAGAGGACTTTCTCCTCTCCAAATTCCTTCTTTCCTGCTGTAAATATCAAGAAAATATCTATTTTGGACTCTTTGCTAGATTGCAACAACTCCCCTTCACCTTGACTTTGCAGTGGGTTTTCTGGTTTCACCTGCTGTTTTGAATAAAGCGCACGGGTACTGTTTCTAGGTGCTGGACATCAAGCTTGTTGCGGAAAATGCCCTCTGGATTTGTTAGAACAGCAGCAAGAGTCTGGTTTTCCTTCTCTGGTTTGTTGAAAAACAGCCCTCAGCTTCCTTTTTTCATTCCTGGACTGCTGCAGATGGTAAACTGTAACTTGTTCCCTCCCGATAGTAGGTCACGGTAGGTCCAGAAAGTCTCAGGGGCGGGGCGGTGCAAGACTCCAGCAATTTCTGGTGGCTTTAGATCACAGCAACAGCAGCTGAAAGGGAAATTTTGCGTACTGCAGGCTGTGGCCGAGGGGAAAATTGGTGGCTGCTAGTCCTCATAGGGAGGCTGGTGGCCAGGAGATGGGAGTGGAAGACAATTTTGGTAGAATTGAAACTAAATTTTATATGTGGCCTTTATAGGAAATTATAACAGGAATGAGTTATTATGCAATCTCAAACAAACTTGCACAAAAAAAGATCCTTATCTACAAATTTGAAACTATACAACAACAACAACATCAAGCCTTTATCCCACTTGTGACTAGGGGTGTCAAAATATTGGACTTGAACTGAAAACCCGACCCGAACCCGACACAAAAATTTCGGGTTTGGGTTGACCCGAACCCGAAGCGGGTTGGATTCAGGTCCAGAAAACCAACCCGTTTGCAAAATCGAGTCGGGTTCGGGTTGACTTGGCAACGCGGGAATGACCTGGAAAACGGCTGCCCCGCGTTGCCTGCCCCGCGTTGCCTGCCCCGTCTGCCCGCTGCCCTGCGTTGTCTGCCTCAGTTGCCCACATGACCGCGTGATGTCGTGGTCCGCATCAAATCACATCGGGCCGAGGGCCAAGTCTAACGTCCGCGCGTGACACGCGTCGCCTGCTCGAGTCACGTCGCCGCCTGCGCTAGTCGCATTGTGTGGGCTGTGAAAATTCGGCCCCGGCCTCCGCCCGCTATTGCTTTTCTTTTCGAGGGAGTTTTAATGGATTAAGTTCCGATGTAAATTTTGGATGGCATATGGGTTTGTAGATAAGACAGTACCCAGAGATTTCGCCCTCATTTTGCAAGGACTTTATGATCTGAGTTCTGGTTTCCTATAGGCGCAAGCCCCTATAGTTAATTATCCCTCCCGATAACGAGAGAGAACTTTCAATTAAGGATAGTCGTGAATCAGATACGTAAAGATACATGGTATTTGGCTATAGTAGCAGCATGGATTTGGATTTGGGAATTTGGAAAGTTTTATATTTAAAATTGAAATTTCACCATCTTGCACTTAAAGCGAATGGTGGGGTGGGGGAATGGATGGACGATGGACCCGATCAAGATCCCATTGTTCCGTCGTCCCGAGCCATCGTGCACCCTGGTCTACTTAGTCAGAGGAGGTAGTCGACCCAACCTGACAGAAGGATCCTTGTCGGTAGCCATGGGTTGTTTCGTCCAAGGGGACCTTGTAGACATTGGGTGAATGCTTGTCTA